AGCCAATCACCAACCAAGGTAATTATCACCTGAATCTCCTCCTAGAGCACCATTGTGTTCTTTTTAACCAAATCTCTCTCAGAGGGGCGTGGGGAGGGGCTCCTTATTTTCATCTAAAGTAACAGACAGAGAATCAGCACTTTTGGAACAGGGCTGAAACAGAGGGGATTATGGGATGCTAGAATGCATGATCTGTTTGGTATTTCAAGCCAAACACTTCAGAGACATGTTTTATATATATCTGAGACCTATAATATATAGATGAAAAACAGTATAATAGGGAACCTTTACGTTTTGGCTTGGGGGAGATTCTTAAGGGGCCTTAAGGATTTTACTTTCAGCTGTTTTCCACTCCTTTACGTTCAAAAGGATTTATGGTGACAACCGTTGCTATTTGGAACCTGTGAAACGTTCCTCTGCTCTCCTGAAAAATGAAAGCAAAACAAACCACACTTTTTTTTCTTTATTCAAAGCAAATAAATACCCCGATTTCCTCAAACCGCTGAAATCTGTGGCAAAATATTGGGAACATAAAGAGGTTTCACAAAAATGATATGAATGGCAGTATGGCAGTACCAACACACGCGTTCTTGTCTGCAGACAGGCTGACTGTGAAGACTGACATCATTTGAATTGTTATTTCTCTCTATGAAGTTTCCAGAGCAAAAATCATTACTGAGGCCGCAGAGGTTGCTGTTATGGCTCTGTGGATATGCCTTCCTGCTGAGCATCCATATGTACATATCACACTGAAAATACACTCCAATTCCAAAAACAATTCAATAACATATGGAAAGTACTTCTAGAGGATGTTGCTTCTCACGTATCATTATAAGTAAAATGGTTTGCAAATCAGAGAGGAATGCCAACAATAACACAGAAATATGTTTGATATAAAGTTCCTTGACTGTTTGAAATGAATTGTGGCCTATTATGGCATACAGAACATACTCATTGTCCAGAAATAACATGAGCACATACCAGGAAATATGGTGATGGGCTATATGTTTACGGAGCGGCAGTTGATTCGGGGTCAGTATAAGAGGGGGGATGAAATACTGTAGGAATCACAGACCACACATTGTCTGTATTATTACAATGTGTTTGTCTGTGCTAACTTTAGGTTCAAAACACCAAAGAAATGCAGCGTATTAACAGAATAATAAATATGTGTGGGTCATCATTTGAAAGAGTGTTTGAAAAGAGGATATTTATTTTCCAAGGAGACTGAAACTCAAAACTTACAAATAAAATAAAAACATATTTTCTTACTAACTTCTATTGGTTGGTTTTATCCAGGGCCACAGACTAGTGCTATTTCTAACATTTATATAATGATTTTTACTTGTTTGTTTGATTGCTAGTATAATTAAACGGCCAACATACGTATTGGTGCTTGTAGTTCCAGTCTCTGACCTCTAACTTTATAATCAAACTCACATTTTATCTTTAAAGGTCCCCTATTATGCAAAATGCATTTTTTATGTATTTTATACATAGATATGTAGATTTTCCAGTTTTAAAGGTCCCATGTCATGGCCATTTCTACTGATCATAATTCCATTGTTGAGGTCTACTAGAATATATTTAAATTGTGCAATTTTCCAAACTCACATTGGTTTCTCATACAGCATCTCTGTATAGTATTTGTATTCACCAGGTATTCACTCTCTGTCCTAAACGGCTTGTTGGAGCTCCTGCCCCCCCCTCCCTGTGAGCCCAGTGTGCTCTGATTGGTCGGGACGTTGCGAGGCTTGTTGCTGCGAGGAGCAGACAGGTCTCCGGGTCTGCGATACAGCGAGAACAAGCAAAACTCATCCTGAGCACACACAAACACTCACAACCGAAGTAAAAACAATAAGTGTGGCTTGATATTGAGTAAGAAAAAGGTTTATAACGCTGTGAGAATGGGTCTGCGGAGAGCATTTCTCCGCGATCCCAACTCGTCTATTACCAGCGTTCAGGGAGCTCTATGCAAGTCAATGGGGACTCCCTGTTAGTTAGCCAAGGGATCCTGGTGTGAGGTGCTCCGCGGATTGGTCCATTTGGGCCAATCCGGTAATTTGTTGTTGATTTGGGTGTTCACACGTCACAAAACCCAGGAAGAAAACAATGGAAAATGAGAAATCTCCAACGAGGCGTTCTGGGGCAGCATAGACAGGTCTTTTCTGTGTTAGAGTTTTACTCGCTACAGGGTGTACTTTGAGGGTTTTTGACTCTGCAGACCGTTTACATGCAGAAAGAGCTTCATAACACACAAGGGGACGGGTAATAACCGGAAAAGCATGACATGGGACCTTTAAGCCATTTTTTTACCCGATAATGGATCATAGTTATTGTATTTTTTATCAAAAGTGATTATAGACACAAGCAGAGCAAACTTTTGCGGCAGCCAAACAGCAATTTTTATCTTTTTGAAAATGCTTTATTTAGTGTTTTTAACATTATTACTCACCTAGTCCATTTGTTTAAGTGAAGGGAGATCTCTGAGGATAATTCATCTCCCACGGTTACATCCTCCTGAAAGAGAAACAATGAAGGAATCCTAACTGGGAGAAGCTGACAGTCGTGACAAATGAATATAGTTCTACACTACTTCTACAAACTCCATCTTACGGCATTGTTTTGATCGAGAGAGCCCTAGTGGCAGATAATGAAATATTGTTCAGAAACTTATATTTCGTAGTATGTGAAAACTCTCACCTTAAAGGCCATTTTGTAACTGTTCTGAAGCTTTCCATCCTACCTATTTTAGAGCACCTGAAGGACTGAGACACTCAGCTTAAACTTAGGAAATGTTATCAAGGGGAACATTTCACACTCAAAACATGATGAACTGACTCCAAACCTAATTTTGCACACTTTTACTTAGAATTACAGCAATATGGCACCACTATTAATAATATTAGGAATAAGAAGGCAACGAAAACCAAATTTGTATATGACAAAGATTTTATTTGAGATATGACTTTTTGGTTTTTATTGTTATTTTCTTTATCTTTCTTTCTTTTTTTTTCTTTATTCGCAATGTACCTGTGCTGATTTTAACGTGAATTAAAGAAAGAGAAAAAAAAGTTTACTATTTAAACTTAGGTGTTCACCTTATGATTATCATTTGGAAAAAAACATGTTTTGTAAACTCAGATTTTAAAACAGTACAACCTCAGTTGATTTGAGATACTTGTCGCTGACATTAAATTCACCAATATATGTGTCTTAGTATTATTAGTCCCTTTGAAATCACAAGTGAGAACCAGTGTTCATCAACTCCTTAACTTTCCCTTCCATCATCAACTCCCTTTTCATCATCATCATCATCATCATCTTTGTTTTCGTCATTCATACCTCTCCATCAATCCTCATTTGCATGACCATCATCATCATTGTCATCATCACACCTGCATCAGATCTGACTTCCAGGTGAGAGCACATGATGGATTGGGGAAGTATGTTTGTGAAGTCACTTTGATGCTCTCACCTGCACATTTTACATTCAACTGATTTATACAACACAAGGAATAAATATAAGTAGAAGCACAAAAAGAAGACATTAGTCCTTTTCAATTTGTATGACGATAGCTGAAAACTTTAATGATAATGGATAATTTAACTAAGTCAGCTGTTTTAACGTGCATTATCATGTTCATACAATCAATCAATGTTTATTTTTTATTTGTACAACAATTGTTAACACTCGTTAAACAATGTGTCTAACGTAACTCTTTGCAAACAAATCATTCTTATACCTGATTTTCCTCTAGTTTTATTAAGGCAAAGACAAACTTTTGCTTCTAAGTTTAACCATTTTGTAATATGAGTGTAGAGCATTAAGTCCACAGTTTGGTAACAACCCTTCAAATACATACTTTCTCTTTGTTGAATATATCAGTAGGGCCATTCATTTTGTCTAACTGGTGGTATTGAATGTGTAGCCGGGCGCTCTGACGTGTCATCAGTTCATCAGGATAATGTGGCTCTGGTGACTCGGCTGCGTCCAGCAGACTTGTGGCTTGGCAGAATGGGGACATGCTGTAGAAGTGCTGCTTTGGCTTCAGAACGAGGAGAAAATGTGTGTGGAATGAATGAAATCTCCTACTGCTGCCATAGACAAACACTTGACAGGATTTCCCTTCAAGTGCTGAACAGGCTGCATTAGACTTAATGATTATTTATTGCGCTATGAGATGTATTTATGTGACCTCTGTGCATCATGTTACTCACAGAGATGATTTTTCAGCTGGCCTGGTTTGGCCACAGGATGAAATAAGGCATTAATAGGCTCTCCCAGCAGTATTCCAGCCAGGATTACAGCTCTTTACCTGCCACAGCCATTCATTTCTTCATTTATTCGTTTTTCCACTGTTTTACTTTCATAATTCCGATACAGAGCTTCAGAAGCCAGTGTGTGCTTTGGGTCAAAGTCGGAATGTCTCAGTAACAGTGCACCTTACCCTTCGGGAAGCAGTGGTAGATGGGTAGGTTTTAGGTTCTGTCACACAGTGATGTCATTCTAAAACAACAGCGGAGCCACGCTGTGATTTATGAACTGTGGACAGTCTAATGTTTCTGAAGGCTGATGTGCATCAACGCTGAGATTCCACCTTCCTTCAAATACTTCGCAACAAGTGTTTCTCACAGTTCATTGCATTTCAACGACTTTTCTCTTCGTTATGCTGCCACAAAATGGTCTCAAGGCTAGGGCGTCCATTACAGACGCTTGGGATGTGTCTGTAGGTATCTGATGTAGGAGATGCACCAGGCTTTCAATGAACTCCAATGTTAACAGTCTTTAATAGATGCTCAGAGCAAAGGAACGTTTAAAATGAGACATGAGAAAGTATGCTAAGGACAAGATTTAGTGATGGTGTCAAACAGGATTATATATTTATTTATATTGGTTTTTGAACAATAATTGCTCATTGTCTCCTACTTCTGACATGTTTACGGATTAGAGCATCCAAAGCAACCATAATGAGTTATTTTGTGCTTTGTCCCAACAGGAAGGCCGGCCTCATCCTCTCCCAGTTAGGGGAGCTCAACCCGTGGTGTAAGGGTCTTCTTCAGGAGCCGAAGATCGGCCTCCGCAGGATGTCCCTCAAGTTCCTGTCCTGCCGCTACACTGACACCAAGGCCTTCGGGCTGAACTGGTCTCACATGGGCCAAGACGTCCACAAGGCCTGCGACGAGCAGACACTTACCGTCATGTACAACGACTACGGCGAGCCCAAGGAGCTGTGAAACTATTAAAGGTTTCTATTGCAATGTGTACAGGAATATGGGAAATGTGTCAAACCCAACAAAGAAACAAATAGAATGCAGATTTTACATTTGTTTCCCTTAGCTTAATGTATTTATAGTGTCATAAGCAAATTCTTAAAGGTCCCCTATTATACTGTTTTTCATCGATATATTATAGGTCTCAGATATATACAAAACATGTCTCTCAAGTGTTTTGCTCGAAATACCAAACAGATCATGCATTGTAGCATCCCATAATCCCCTCTGTTTCAGCCCTGTTTCAAAAGTGCTGATTCTCTGTCTGTTACTTTAGATGAAAATAAGGAGCCACTCCCCACGCCCCTCTGAGAGATATTTGGTTAAAAAGAACATAATGGTGCTCTAGGAGGAGATTCAGGTGATAAGGTGTGGGGGGGGGGGGGGGGGTTACCTTGGTTGGTGATTGGCTAATGGTTACACAAGCCAAAACATCGTTATGACATCATAAAGTGGCCAAAATCTGACAGGTTTTTATATAAATGGATCAAAAAGTGAGCGAATCTTTTTTCCTGAAACTTTCAGAGTCTCTTTACACAGAGGGGACACATATGTATGTATAAAAGACATGAAAAAGTGGATTTTGCATAATAGGTGACCTTTAATATAATTTGAAATGCCACATTTTATATTTAGCTTTACCACATTATTGGTAATATATTCAAAGTCTAATCAGAGCTTCAAGATAGATACATTCACCTAAATATCTGCGGCTCTTTTGATCCAGACAACTCTCTGAATTCTATTCTTCCCTTGCAATGATAAAGTGAAATCTAATGCAAACTTGACACATCTGCAGATGCTTCACAAAGAAGACCCCTTTGTTTCATTGCTTAGTAAGTTAGAATACCACAAAACATTCCATGTCACAATGAAATGTAATCTCATTGGGGAGCTAACCTAGAGTTCTACATTAAATGCATTTATCTTAGATAAACTAAACGTAACACCTTGCATTTTATTTCACTGTATTTCTTTGTTGGATTGAACAATCTTCATTTAAAAAAGGGATATATAAAGAGGGCACATTCTTTTTGAATCTTTGTTGGAATAAATCTGTCATCTTGATGGTGTAGTCAATATTGTAAAGCGCAATTTCATTTGGGTTCTTTATATTCAGTCAGAAATTAAAAGGTCAGATCTTTGTTTTAAAGGGTAATACAGCAGGTCCTTTTCTCGTAAAATGTACATGAAAATGGATCCAGCTTCTATTGTAGCTTTGGTTTCATTGGTACATCCTGAACATCGTTAATATTTTGAAGCTTCTGATGCTTGTCGTAATTATGAAGAACTGCAACACATGCAGCAAGTGAACACATCATGCGCTGAACCATCATGTATGCCAGCTATGATTTGGTATTGGTGGCTGTATTTTTTTCTACATACTTTAAATAAAGTCAGCCTCATGAACTAGTACCCACATGTCTTGTTTTGACATTCTCACACATTGAAAAGGAAATGCTGTGCAACGTTTTAAGGAAATGCCAGTATTTTAGAAAGTTATCCATGTTTCTGTAAGAAAAGTGAGGTGGCATTAAAGCAGATGAAGAGATTTTACAAGAAAAGTAAAAGAAAGATAAGAGATGATTGTCAGCAGGAAGTTATTTTAGTATAAAAACTAACCTTGTACATAACATTATCATAACGTTTTTGTGATATATCCTTCTGAATGTAGTATTGCTAGTTTGCATTTAAAGGTAAAGCTGCTTTCAAAAGAGTTTTTTTTTCAAAAGAGCTGCTTTCAAAGTCTCTCAAAAGAGAGGCTTTGTTTCTCCACATGTTCAATAAAACCTTTGCTTTTATCGTTTTCACATAATTCAAAGTAAGAGAGATTTATCTGTCATCTCTACTAAAACTGTTTCTTTCTTGTGAGTATATTTTAACTTTAGTTTCTATTTGTTATGTTCTTATTTTATTTTTGTGCAGTGGCCATGTTGGAGATTGATGTCAACAAATGTATATTAGTTGCTGATTTTTAACAAATCTCATATGTGAATACTAAAATGGACACTTGTAGATTTTTGTATAGGCAGCAAAGTATTTCATAAATGCATCACATAACGCAGTACAGTGTTTTTTCTTCTGTATATAAATGTATAACATTTTACGTGTGCTTTAGTAGATACAATATTGTATGGTCATATCTGCTGTGTAGCTTACTAATTGGATGAATCCACTTGGTGCATGTAAAATGCAACAGGCTTTACTTTCTTTGCTGAAATTGGATTGGACCTTTGTAATAAACTGTGATTGGTTGATTAAAGAACTACGAAATGACATTCTGTCGTAGAAAAATGGGACATTTGACAAACTTATTAAGTGGAATATTAAGGCACTTGACCCTTGTGAAAAATGTAAACCAATCATATACTATCTGCATGATTTTATTCTGTCTAAACTGTCTTTGGCCATCAAACCTTTTTCACCTTGATCTTTGCTACTTCAAAGAACAATAAAGAATATATTATGAAACGTGGCTGTATTGATACATTTCGTCAGATGTCTGAAAAAATCATAAAACAACACACAAAAGAAGAATATGCTTGTAAATGTTAAAATCCCCTGAAAAAGACCGTTTTTGAGGCTACGTGTGGGTTGTTACCAAAGCTTTATTTTAAAAGATGTTCTCTGTTTTTAGACTTTGACCATAAAATAGCCATCTTTTTGCCAGAGGGCAAAAATATGTGTATTTTATGTTCAAATTCTTGGACCTTTCTTCTGTTTTGAATGTGTGTGTCCCCCCACCAAAGAGCGCCTTCTTTATACGTGTTTGAACTTCAGAGAACTTCAGAGCACTGTGGATCTTTTTTTTCAAAATAGTTTGGAACTTGGCTCAAAATATCACAGGCGTGAAATGCATTCTGGGGTACTTGGCTACCTGAAGTCCAAACAAGTAAGCAGGACTACTTCCAGTAATTTGGACTGTTGCTACTTGGCTAGATGCAGACGTTGAACTTGGAACAGTATTTGGGCTGAGGGTGAGGACGTTTCACAAGTTGACCAGAACACAAGTGCAGGATGCAGATTGAGGAAAACCTCTGTATGACAAGTCATGTCAAGTTTCTTTAGGAGTAGGAACTGGAAAGGGTATACAGGTTGTTGTTGTTGTTGTTGTTGTTACTGCCTGGGTCACATGGGGATGAGGACTCAGACTTTGAGCAGCAGGTGTGTCAAAGTATTGAATTAATTTCATAATGGTAATATTAACTGATCCTCTTCCAACATACTGGCTGGCTTTTTTTTTATGGCTGTGACTAGCAGCTCTTTAGCTCGCCCTTTCGTCCGGTCGGTGTGTCCGCAAACACATTCTCACTCTATGGCAGCCACAGTCTTTGCCGTAGGACAGGGGTGTCCAAACTGTTTTCACTGAGGACCACATAAAGAAATAAATACGAAGGCCTGGGCCCCTCATAGAGGTGAGGTATACTTTTTTTTATCAAGTAAGATTTGTTGGAACATCTTTTCAACTTTAATTGACGGAATATATTTGCTGCGGGCCAATTAAAAGTGGGCAACGGGCCGCATTCGGCCCCCAGGCCGTAGTTTGGTCACCCTTGCCCTAGGAGTATGGAATTGGGCACAGTCAGAGTTAGTGAAGATGTGTGGGTGTCAAGTGGAAACCCCCAGTTCTGAAAAATAATGACATTGAAAGTTCGCTTAACATGCATACATTTTTCACTGGTTGAAAAAATAAGTCAGATTGTGTAGTGTCTATGAGGAAAAGTTCTACTTATCACTTCATATATTAACTTAGTAATAATTTTCCTTACAAGTTTTTGGTCCAAATCGCTAGTTTTATGTGTTGTTTAGTATAACATGATGTTTATTCAGTTAATGATGGTTCCATTAAGTATAAAAATAGATGTTATAGCAACGCATGCTTTACATGCATTGCTACCGTGTGAATCACTGGTCTACCACACAGTATTTTGGAAACGAAAGAAAAATGGCGTAAATTGGTAACTATGTTCACTTCTTATATAATACAGTTTAGAAACATGAATTATGGGAAGCGTAGTATACAGAAATATTTGCCCCATAAACAGATCTCTGATCACAACCAATGACATTTTATTGAAACTGTAAGCATTCCGGTTTTTACTATGTTTTTTTATAGTATTTCACATTCTGAAATTATTGATCTAGTATACGACCTTCATAAAAATGTGGCCTACTAGGAATTTGTAAATGAGAATCATGTGGAAATCAGTCCACTGTAGGGCCAAGTCTAATAAGACAATGGATAATGTCCATGGTTGAACCATTACAGATATCCACATGTATCTGATCTCTGACGGCATTCTGCATATGAAACCAGACTGAGAGCCGAGAAACTTGTTTATTTGCTTCTCTAGATCAGATTCTAGGATCTATTAAAGTCCTTAGAGATTTGTTGAATTGGCAAAAGCCTGCAGAGAAAGGGAGGTTTACTGTTTTGTAAGCAATCCGTGACGCAGCATTTAAAACAAATAAAATGTTGGTCATTTGACTTATTTTGTTACTTTCCATGCACATCTCTAACTAAGAAGGATAGTAAACACCGTTAAGTTATTTTGCAGTTGAGCCCATTATGAAATCTGAAAAGACAGAGTGTGTGTGTGTGTGTGTGTGTGTGTGTGTGTGTGTGTGTGTGTGTGTGTGTGTGTGTGTGTGTGTGTGTGTGTGTGTGTGTGTGTGTGTGTGTGTGTGTGTGTGTGTGTGTGTGTGTGTGTGTGTGTGTGTGTGTGTGTGTGTGTGTGTGTGTGTGTGTGTGTGTGTGCCACATTTTATTATAACATATCATTTGTAGATGGTAAGAAAGAACCCACAATAGACACACCCTGTGTGAACGAACGTAACCCGAATCAACAGAGACATTATTAGGGTCGATATAAAGTTGCTATTTATTTAATATAGAGTATAAAGGACTGTAGAATATCACAAAGAACATGATTACACTTGTATAGATACAATATGGGGTTCTTTATCTGGCTAATGGATACCAGAAGCTAACATGCAAGCAGCAGAGACGTTTGAAGGCTGTGTTGAGCCAAACTTAAACCCAGGCTTCCCAAGTCTATGTAGTTTATCCACCATTTTGCCACCTCCAACACTTTTTTAGATTGGAAAGTCAATATCTGACTTCCAGCTTTGGGTGTAATTGTTTACAATCCGTAGACCTAATTTAGGACATTTCTTTTTGTAAATTCAACTGAAAAAAATGAAAAATAGAGGTTTG